TGTGTTCAAGCAAATCATTTGCCCGCATCGCTTTTAGGGCAGCTGGTAGAGTTTGACGTTTTGCTAGCGGAATTGGCCGAGGTTGATAAATGGCAACGGGTTTTGCATCCTACTTCGGCTGAATGCGGTGTACACCACATGAACTGCGTCTAATGGACTGCTGAAAAAGCTTCGGATAACTTTCATCTCATTATTCCACGTTAACGGAAGCGACATACATGCGGTCGAAAGATGAAACTGGTTGCAAAACCGCCGTAGTATTTTGCCGAAACATCGGTCATCTTTTGTCTGAAGGAATGTACACTACCACATCCGCAGTTACCGAATGCAACTGTTAGGACACGATACTGGATCCTAATATGGTTAATGTGTTTCCACTGTAACCCCGAAAATCAATATAAAGTGAATTATAAGGCCTGCTGGGATACGCAGCGTTCGTAAAATTGGAAAGCCACAGTGGTACCTGGAGAAGCATCACCTAGCTTTCTATTAAGTGGAATAGTGCTTTGGATGGTAAAGAATGACGCTGTACGAATATAAGCGGAGGAAAACTTTGGTTCAACAACTGCTGTTGTTAGAGTTCTTAGTGTTATCATTATCAGTGTTGGAAGAAATGTGTTCCTGAGATGCAGCAGGAACATGGTTTCAAGTGTAACATTGTCTTTGATGAGTGTCATGGTCTGCGACCGACAACATCGGGCATTGCGCCCAATCTTGCAACAGATTTTGCACTTGAGGCTGTTTGCGGGACGAGTGACGAAATCGCCTTTGTAAGTAGTGCTTCCGCAACCATAACGAGATGTTTGTCCGCTGGGAATTGTCGGAATGTTTGTACCATTGCCACTTTGGTTGATTTGGTCGCACACATCTGTTTCGATTGCAGTGATATTTCATATTTAACACTGGCTAACACACGGGCTCAATATCTCGTTACTCTTCTTGCATCTTCCAGTAACGTCGCCTCACATCTACGATTGTCAGCAATCCCATAAAGCAGTGGTTGAGTGAGCATACAGCCTTCGATCTATTTTGGGAAATAGATTAATAATTATACGGTCATACTGCACGACTAAGCCGTGCAATGAGAGCGTTTGTGGGTTCACCGGTTTCCCGATGCGTGCGGAAGAATAAGAACCTTGCAGTGAACGCGTCTGTTTGGTAAACCCAGATACGATCGAGAGCACTGAAGGTTCTCAAACGGATTTTGCATGATGCCCTCGACGCCAAAAATCATATCAGGAAATCGCACGTGAAGCAGATGGTTCAGTTGTAATATGCGAAGGTTGTGAACGACACGGAACAAATCTTTAAAACCGGTTGAATGATCACTCAGCATTGAGCGAAATACAACCAATCAGAGGAAGTCAAATATAGCGAATAGAAACATAATCCTTCAAGCAGACGATCTACGGTCTGTACATTGCACTTCTTTCCGTTAAAAGAAGAACGAACGGGAACCAAGACATATGACGACAAATAGTGTTTATGAAATTAATTACAATACTGTGAACACGTGTATATAGGTCAAAGAAAGAGAGGGCTACACCGGAGGGGAGCAAAACACAAGGAGCACATTTCGCTTCCAACGGGAAAGGAACCTGAATACGTCGCCTTACTAAAAGCTTCCGCGGTGGCCGTACACACGCTAGGCGTATGACACGAGATTGATTAGGACACTATCGAGATATTTAAGGGGAGATTGTTAGCAGCAAGCTAAATATTACTTGCTGAGACTATCGAGATTACTGACTAATAACTGTATGAACAGAGCGGACTGGGTGGAGTTATCGAACGCGTGGCGGGTTGTGTTAACCCGATCAGTCAGAAAAGGTGTCGGCGACCAAAGTTAGGTCGGAGGTTGAATCACCAGCTGCAGAAAAGGAATGTCACCCATGTGAACGACCGGGGACGTGTATCAACGCGGAACGCTTGATGCTATTGACGTGTAATATTATTATTCAATGTTTCATGTTAGTTTATGCAATCTTCAGCTTAAGTTTCCATAAAAAGCTAAGCCCATTATGTCCCGATTCACCTGGACTGAAGAGGATCTTGTGTCAAGAACGAAACCTTGCCATAATAAACTTCTACAAAACATATTTGCATTCAAAAGCTTCAAATACATGAGATTCCGCTGGGTTCGAAGCACATTTCGTGATATTATCTAGCAGAAATATTGCTGCCTGGTTATGTTAAGCGCTTTGACAAAGCAAATACCGAAATGATCATCCGTGCTCAAAGACTTACAGCTATAAACCCCAGTTTAAAATGGATTATGCTTAGGTTTTGTAAAAAACCTCTCCAAAGGGCGATGGATCGAAGTAGCCTCAGGTCGTGGCGACATGCATCGCCATATATAATCCCGGCTATTGAAGTGGACCTTGCTAACGGTCACTACAAGGCAGCACCCGAAGTGGATGTTGCACGGAAGACGTCGGCACCAATTAGTACGTCCAAAACAGTTTCTCCAGATGTAGGTGATATGTGAGAGTAAGCCAACTAAACGTTTGGGTAACATCTCTTCAGAAAGTCTTCTGAACTTTGACAAATTTGTTTCCATTAGCAGTGCAAGTTCTGCTTCCGCGGAGTATGCACATCCACCGGGTGGATAGTATAGGGAGAAGGAACCTTCTGATAGCCTACGCTAACCCCTAAAATCCCTAGCAGGCATGACTTTGTGTACAATAGACCACTGATAACTTAGTAAGGGCTGCAGTACAACACGCGGTATGATTCACAGAAGAATATTAAAACTAACGGCCAGCTAGTCGGTAAAGCCTACCTATTCAACGATACGGCTAAATATGTTTGCTCAGAACCAAAAACTCAAGGGGTGCTTACTACAAGTGGCTGAAATCAGCGTTATCAAATAACACGGCCTTCGGTGACCTCGCAAAAGAAGCCAGACACACACCTAAGGTCATGTTTACGTCGCTCATTGCGAAGTAGTCCGAGCAGGTTTCCCAAGACCGTGACTGTCCTTAGTACGCTCAAAGGTACTACATCTTCCAAATCATAGTCCCTCCATTCCTTTCCTTCTCCTCCGTTCTCCTCAGAAAAGATGTTGGTAACTGTAGTAAAAAGGTCACGCTCACTTTTGGAATTTCGCGCGCATAACCTACCCAATCTTTTGAATATACATTCATTCATGTAGTCCATCATCACAAAATATTTCTACATTTGGAAATCGATTACAACCATGCGGTTGACATGCACTAGGCAAATTGGAAATCCGCCGCCTCATCCGGCGCTCGTCTTCCTTATTTGTACTCAAAACAAAACAAGTTGTTTTCAGGTATACGGCATCCATTGCATTGTTCATCAAGCAATATACGCTGCCACAATACTTTTGACGCATATATAATAAGTCCACTTTTGTAAGTAGTAGGGGGAGTTATTAGGTATTTGTGTAGATTCTTCGCGGTTAGACGCAGACAGAAAGCCACCACACATCCAGTAAAGCGCTAGACGGCCGTTTCGTCCTATTGGAACTCGTCAGTAGAGCGCATCCGCCGAATCCTGCCGGATTCGAACCCACGACTTTACTCTTGCAATTCAGCGACTTATGTCACTGAGCCATGGGCGACGGCAGCGGACCGCCTTGAATGATATTTGTCTGTGATATAGCGCGGCTCATCCTCCACTGTCTGCATGTGAGTACTGTGCAGAGGACAGGGCTGCCCCCAGCGCAACGCCTTCCTTTGCACTTTTCACTTCTGCCACCCACAAGTAGACTGCAGCATCGTCCGTGGCATGTGCCAGCGTCCCTGTAAATCTTAAAGTGTACGGTTGTTTTAAGTCCCGTGGACACAGCGATACATGTACAAATGAGTGCAGCCGAATTGTGCGCAAGCACGCCTCTCAACGGTTTTCAGGAAATGGATTGTTAGGTCATTCCAGGTAATTATCTCACCTTTTTGGGGCATCTGCTGGATGTGGTCCACAAATTCCTTTATCTTCGGAGTTGCCTTCTTATTAGTGGTTGGACGGATGAAGTCTCCCTGCGTAATTTCAAGGCTACAGTCGCTTTCGCCAACCTTCGTTACCTGTGGCTTCTTCGTGACTTCAGCCTAGCTCTCAAGGACTAGTCACTAATTCCATGGTACGAGGGGTTCAGTTGTACGAATGTGATGTTTGGCCCTTTCGCAATAGAGATGGTTAGCGGCTATCTGCCTTCGATCACCGATGAATGTGAACGATTCCGGGTGTTCAATGACAGAGTCACGTCATTAATGAGGAAAACAGTCGGTAAGTCTTCAGATTCAATGAATTCCGTAGACTGATTGATTGTATCATCTCACTGCGGTGATTTTGCTGGCTTGGGCATGTGCTCCGCATGTCTACCCCGCAGCTACCAAGACGAGCCCCATTTGCCAGCACACGCGTGGCTTGCAAGCGACAAAATGGAGGGCAGTGTAATACTTGGCTTTAATGGATTAATGTGCAAACATTGAAGATGGCTGTTGTCTGTCTTTCCCAACTCCCGGGTTAGGGACCAGAGGACTCGAACACATGTGCTTGTAAACACTTGGGGATATGGCCAAGGACCATATGTAATGGCGCACTTACTGTGAGACTCTTCTACCATAACACTTGTTTTCCCTTTCACGCTACTTTTTCTCATGTGTTGTGGCAATCAGCCAAGTATAATATAATTGTGTTAGTGTTGAATATATATATTAATATATATATGTATATGTATATATATGTATATATAAAATTCCAGTCTCACCAGTCTAATGCCAGAGTCAGTCAGCCTTCTACTCCGTGATAATGTAGTTAGCCTTCTGCCAAATAATTTTTAATCGCTAGCAAACAAGCTGAATCACCTGCGATCATTATTATCTTCTCCCCACCCGCATGTTGCTTTTCACGGAAACATGATTTAGCTCGTACCGCATGGAGCTGTTTGTCCCAACCTCATACATTTTGCCAACGGTAGTCTTAATGGTTTAGGTGGCAGGGGCATTATGTTCATTAATGATACCTTAGTTAAAGTTTTGGCGGGAGTAACTATGACTCTCTAACATCTTCAGACCCTGGTGCCTAGTGCTTTGCCTGCGGCTTCGGCTGTTGGTATATGCTACCGGTATAATGAGTGGTCCCTTGAGGATCACCGCCTTGGCTGGAAGGTGTGGGAGGAATGGTTACATGTCCTGGACGCCTCCACGTGGCGACCGCTGGTTAGGAGCTGGCGTGCCGCTTCGAGTTTTCATATGCTTCCTTACGCTCTTAAGGCTTTGGCTAGGTCCGTCAGACCGTACCCATTGCCGCCTTGTGCCTGCATGTGTGCATACGCCTGGCTCATTTCTGCCCTGGTGGGGTAGGGGTCAGGTGTGTGGCATGTGTTGCACTTGTCTCTTGGTTCGAATGCTATGCGTGACAACCCATGTGCGCTTCACCTGGTTCGTTGCTGCAGGCTGCGTTCCGGGGGTTGCGTATGTGTCGGGCCTGTGTCTGCATATGTTCATGCGCCTGGACCTGAATCTGCCTTGGCGGGTCTGGGCCGGGTGTGTGTGCATTTGTGGGTGCATTGACCTTGGTTGAAACGCGCGGTCGTCGATCGTGTCGTTGAGACTATTAGCGCTGAGGTGCTGTGGATTCTTGGAGTTGGTGTGCTTTGCTCTGAGCTAAGAGCCAGGACACCTCATGTTGGGCCAACCCCCCTGCATGAGTGTATTGTGGGTTACAAAGCCAAAAAGTAAGTTACCTATAAACAGTGCCTCGAGCACTGTATCCACCCACAGTTTGAATCCGGAGAGGGTGGGAGATGATGACTTGGAGAGGGAGAATGTGGAAAGCGTGGTTAGTGGAGAATGTGTATGTCTGTTGTGCGGTGCTTCTTTTCGTAGTAAGCGGGGCCTTGCGCAGCACAAGCGGCATAGGCACCCTGTTGAGCTCAATGAGGAACGCTTGATGGATGTACCCAGAAGAAAGGGGGAGTGGACTCAGAGTGAGTGTAAGGTAGCTTTGGAACAAGCAGAGTTTTGGTTTAATCAAGGAATGGAAAAACAGCAGGTGTATGTGAAGTTAGAGTCGGCCCTCCCTGGGCGTACAGCTGAGGGTATCAAGAAGCAACTGCGAAAGCTCGGTTGGCAACTTACACAGTATCGGAAGAAAGGCAACAGGCCTGAGGATGATGGTGGTAAGATGAAGAGAGGGGTGCGGAAGGCGAAGGTATTACCTGAGCCGACTGCCGGGTCTGTCCAGCGTGATGTCCCGTCCCTCTGTTTGTGGGATTCTCCTCCTGCTGAGCAGCAGGTGGATCTGGAGTTGGTGGATATGGATGGTGGTATTTTTGATGAGCTTGTTGGGCCGGAAATCCCTGGAGGAGTTGGCCCCTCGAATGAAGAGGTAGTGGATTTGGTGCCACCTTCGCCGGAGAAGCCTCTGCTTAGTGGGAGGCAGAAAGAGTGGTTTGAACTGATGCTGGATACCGTTATACGAGGGCTTGTGGCTAGTACGGATTCGTGGTTGCGTCCTGATCTTCTGCTGGATATTGCTTTGAACCTCAGGGCTGGGCTGGTTGACTTTCGGGAAGCCCAGTCCCGCTTTGAGGCTATTATGCGGGATTGGTTTCCTTGTAGGTGGAAGCGTAGAGAGAGGAAAGCGGCAAAGCCGACAGTGGGGCAGAGGCGTATTAGAAAGGTTACTTATGCAAAGATCCAATCACTGTTCCGGAAGAAGATTAAAGATGCTGCGAAATGTGTGCTAGATGGTACGTGGAGAGAGGTCTATAAATCGGATGGGGGTCTGATTGAGGGGGGTCTAGAGTACTGGAGGAACATCATCCAGACTCAAGGTAAAAGCGATTGCAGACCCGTGGAGCAGTGTGAGGAGAATTACGGTCTCATACGGCCGGTTAGTGTGGAAGAGATAGGTGAAGTGCTCCGGAAGAATGGTAACACAGCTCCTGGGCCGGATGGTGTCACTGTTAGTATGCTCCGGCGTGCTAATCACAAGGTGTTAGCTCAGGTTTTTAATCTGATGCTCTTGCTTGAGGCGCCAGCAAGTGCGGTAACGTTAGCCAGAATCTCTCTGATCCCAAAGTGTGTGTGTCCGCAGAGTCCTGGGGAGTATCGGCCGTTGGCGGTGGCTTCAGTGGTTATCAGAACGCTACACAAGATACTTGCCATACGTTGGAGGTCTCACTTGAGATTGACATCACTTCAGGTGGCATTTCAGAAACGAGACGGCTGTCTGGAGGCGACATATGCGCTGCACTCCCTGTTGCGTACTGTGCATGGTCAGGTCGCTAATGCTGCGGTTGCATTCTTGGATGTAGCTAAGGCGTTCGATACGGTCTCTCATGATACAGTGCTTCGGGTGGCGCAGTTGCATGGAGCCCCAGCGCCAATGCTTAGCTATCTCAGGAAGTTGTACGTTGAATCAGAGGTGTTGCTGGAGGGTGAGAGGATTCGGTGTGGTAGGGGTGTAAGGCAGGGAGACCCCCTGTCTCCACTTCTCTTTATTATGGTGATGGACGAGGTGCTCTCGGGTTCAGGCATTGGGCTTGGGGAGTCTGCAGCGGTGGGCAAACCGGTTGGGGCGCTTGCTTATGCGGATGACCTGGTCTTAGTCACCGATACTGCTGCTGATTTGCACGCTAGGCTGAAAGTCCTAGAAATGGGGCTGGAGGCCTCTGGTATGTTGCTGAATACGTCTAAGTGCCGAACGTTGACCATCAGGAAGTTGGGCAAGCAGAAGGTGGCGGTGCTTGAACCTAGGGAGTACCAAGTCGGGGGAGGGGTTATTCCAGCTATGACGGTTGATGAAGAGGTGCGCTACTTAGGCCTCCCTTTCACTTGGAAGGGTAGGTCTTCGCTTAAAAGTACGCGTAGGTTGGAGGGTATGATTTCCGAGATTAGCAAGGCACCACTGAAGCCCCAGCAGCGGCTGAGAATCCTCTGCGACTTTGCGTTGACTAAACTTCAATACGAGCTGATAGTGGGCAATGCCCATCGTAACACGCTTAAGAAGCTCGACAGAATGGTGAGGGAGGCGATCCGAAGATGGCTGCGGTTGCCCAAGGATGTATCCTTGGCCTTCCTATATGTGGGCTCGGCCGAAGGCGGGTTAGGTGTACCGAACCTTGGTATCACGGTGCCCCTGGCACAGAGAGCTAAGTTCAGTAGACTTCTCTCCTCTCCTGAGGAGTGGATACGTAGCTTGGTTCACCACGAAACTGTCCAGAAGGATATGAGGGTGGCCAACCTACCCATTAGGGTAGGTGGGCAGGAGATAAGCTCCAAGAAGGAAGGTAGGGATTATTGGCTGAAGAGATATACCGAAATGCATGACTTGCAGGGCACTTGCCCTTGGTTGGTTGATAAAGCTAGTTATAATTGGGTGCGGAGACCTGAGGGTGTATTCCCCAGGCTCTACATTAGGGGGTTAAAGTTGCGTGCAGGTGTCTTACCTTCTAAGGTTAGGTCGAGTCGAGGTGGCTCGCGTAAGGGTAGGGAGCTTCTGTGTCGGGGACACTGTGGGCACCATGAGTCGGTCGCCCATATCCTACAGAAGTGTGCAATCACCCATGACGCCCGTTGTGCTCGTCATAATAGGGTAGTCAAAAGGGTCGCCGCCATAGCGCGTAAGAAAGGGTATCAAGCCTGGGTCGAGCCTGTTATAGCGAAGGCAGATAGCTTCTGTAAGCCTGATTTGGTTATCGCCTCCCCTAATCAGGTGAGGCTGGTTGACGTTGCCGTAACTACTGGTGATAGGATGGAGGCCATGTGGGTGGAGAAAGTCCGTAAATACGACCACCCAGAAGTGAACGATGGAGTGCTTCGCCTATCTCTTCCCGATGCGCCGATGAAGCCCGCTGTTGTGCATATGCCGCTTATCCTTACAGAACGTGGGTGCATCTACAAGCGTTCCGCAATTGGGCTCCGTAGGTTAGGTTTCACTGATAGGGATATATCGGACCTGTGCCTACTGACGGTGCAGGGTTCCCTAGCGTGCTATGATGTGTATATGAGGGGTACTGGAGGTATAACGTAGGTAGGTTGTATGTTTGGGTATGTTTGTTTGTATGTATGTATAGTAGGTTAGGTTTGTTGTTTGTATGTTATGTCTTTGGTATGAAGCTAGTATTATTGATGGTTCCACTAATAATCTCCCTTTTCCAGTTGCAGATCCCACCTTATGAAGCGGAGACCAGAAACCGTTCGCGGGGGGTGTCCGCCGATGACTCTCCGGATGAGAACACAAGCCGCGCTGCCCTTGGAAAGCCCGGTGCACAACTTCTTCTTTGGATCTTCTCTTCATTCAATCTTCCTTTGGTTGGCCTGGATCGCGCCGTGACCCATGGTGATGGAGAAAGCTTCCGGAACACCGTCGACCCACGCTAGGAGACCCCTGGCAATACTGCCCGAAAGATAGCATTGGCCTATTGGCCTTAAGACCTTTGGTCTTATTGCCTTTGAGAAATGAAGCTTCATTTGAAGCCCGAAAGATCGAACTGACGTCCTATGGACGTAATACCCGAAAGATCCAGATAATGTCCTATGGACATATTCCCGAAAGATGATTATGAGCCATGAGCTCCTGCAAAGATAAGGGTTGTGAACCCTTAAGATCCCGAAAGATCCCAAATATACCCGAAAGATCCCTAGGATATGGGCAAGCCAGTGGGTGCGTGGAAGTGCAGGTGAACATGGAATAGCCTGCATGGAAGCGGGTCCCTGGGCCACGGTTGCGTGAACGGCCGTATTATTTCTTGCCCCTCTTTCTCTATGTTTATTGTTATGGTTAGTATCTAATGTACCGAGGCATTCCAAAAATATACTTTTACAATAGACTGGAGGCTTTTTCGTTGGGCAGTTTCGAGGACTCAGTCTGGGTACAGATTAAGACAAATTCCTATGGCATTCTTGTAGATTGGATTTACTTGGAGCCTGATGCTGCCAATGCCAAATTGCACCAATTAACAGAAGTGGCAAATTGGACATCTGAAATGCTGTTCTTTCAGAAAGTACAGGTGGTAACCTCAGCATGTCTGATGTTTCAAGCCAGGAACGAGCAGCACCCACTAAGATAGGAATTTTTGTTCTTCATTGGGTACACTTGGAAGAACACAGCAAGTATGACTTCCTACTAGAGGCAGGAATATTCTTGACTTGTGTTTCACGTTCGGTAAATCCAGTGCAAATACGGACTTTAGCAACCTCCATGGAAGCGATCATAAGTCTATGTAACTAACCTATAATGTTGCCCAACTAACAGCAGCGAAGCCACACTTCGCCTACCAGTATCAATCATATCACGAATTGAAATGGAACAGCTTCCGTTTGTCTATTAGATTTCTTGACTGGGACGGATTTTTTCAGTATTGGCATTCCAGCTATCACTGCTGATGCATTCCACCGGTAAATGTTGCACCGACTTGCTTGCACCACTGCAATCGAACAAGAAGCTATTGTCTGGTTCTCTATTTGTCGTTTCTAAAGCGGTTGCGATGCATCTAAAGGTTTTGCGCTCTAGCCTTAAAAATATTAATGATAAAATTGCAATCAAACTAACATACAAAATTTTCTAGGACGTGCAGGCCCAACATGAAAGAAGTCTTACGTCATACCCGTCACAATGCCAGCAGCTCTCAGTAGAAAACTCTTATTTTATAGAACAATGATGGTCAGATAACGAGCATAACTTCGTCAGTTGATGGCGGTTGCCTCATCTGACTGCAGTCTCTCAATCAACCGAGAAGTGCTATTTATTTCCTGTGCATTTCACCTCGTCGCTTAATACAGGCGCACATGTTGCGCAAGAACGACTGTCTCTACTCAATGATGAAAAATACGTACAGTTGTGTTGCACCTGCGTAGCATTAATAGACAAGTGACAATCCTAAGATATTCTTTTAGCCTAGGTTTTCCATCAAGCGAACCATCATTGCTTTGAATTCCTGGACTGGATATCCCAACTTTTCCACTGAAAACATATTCACTTTGTCAATCAAAGCTGGTTTGTGCCTCCTAGGTGGACTCGGGCCACTGTCATACCCCAACACAAAGGAGGATCACGTCACGAGCTAGCACGTTAAAGCCACATTGGCCATACTTCTATACTAATTCGGATTGCGGAAAGAAAATCAATGAAATAAGCATGCAATTATTAAATTCCTAAAATCCTGATCGACTATTCTCGACACGGATTCTTTCTTTGTAATTAGTGACTATCTTGCTAACTTGAATTTCTGGACTGCGAAACTAATTCGGATAACTCCTGGATAGTTAATAGTTGTTCTTTCCTTAGACATAAAAATGCATTCGAGCATACACAACCTGCACAACGTATAACAAATTTGGGCTCTTTTGGAATTGATGACCCATTCTTAGAATGGCTGTCATCATCCAGGTCTGCACGCACCAGATATGCAGAGTTGGAAACTGAGTATTTTTGGCTCACTTCCATTTCTAGTTTACTTAACTGATATTTTCAGATTTCTCAGTATGCAGTTTATTATTTTTCGCTGATGCTATCACAGTTGTGTTCGTGCAGTCAATCCGAAAAGTATGTATTATCGACAACTAAGTTGAAAGACAGAGAATAACAACCTAGTCAATAAATCAGATACTAGCGTTATGTACACCGTCCCAGATTTATCGAATGTAGTAGGAATGAACTCCGAATAGAGAGCAAATTTTATTCCGCACTATACAAATAGCAGCCTAAATGGGGTGCTTATTCATCAAATCAAACTTACGCACATCCAATGCGTGCTAGAAAAAGCTACCGGAACAGTTCACCTTACTCTGGTTTTCCACAATACGCTCAGTTGTCCTAATCGAAACGTATGGGTTAAGTTAAGAAGCAAAATCGGTTGGCAATGAAGAGCACAGTGAAAGAAGGATAAGATTTCTTCATTGGTGCTGAATACCCACATAGGAAGTGCTGCGGATAATAAACAAACTAGCGGAACAAAATCTACTTGCACGAAATCGTTGGCGGCAATTCTGAAATTGCATGCACCTATGCCTAAAATGTAAAATTTCATGAGAATCTTTCTACTAACTGTTTCGGCTTCCAAACGGTTATTGCAACCGTTACACCTCTGACAAAGTAAGTGGTAATGTCCCAACCATCTTGTATATATATATATATATATTTTAGACCTTACCTATAATCCTTTCCAATTCCCCGGAATCAGAAAACTATAAAATGTGGTGGCTCGGTACATTATTGTATGCATGTTGAAATAATACAAAGAAAAATGAAGTTGTGCAGCTTAATAAGCATTGCTTTAGACGTCCATTTGAACAATTTATTGGGGATATCGAAAATTAACAGTATAGTCTTTAACACTTTAAGTATGAATGATGGACTTACCGTCGTCCCGACATTGCCCTGCAACGGGCGTGGATTCACAATACGCATAGGTACTAGTAATGAAATCCAAGTTCTATTCCAGTAGTCGGATGGAGTCACTGCTAAGTAGCAGAGTGCAATTGTATGAGTGCATTAGCCAACTGTCATTTAAATATCGTTACTCTCGATGCAGAGATGACCGAATTAGATGGAGTATTCCACACATGACAGACACAAATATAAAAGAAATTTCTGAGGCACTCCAGACGGCTATACTATTCTGCGAGTTTCAATGCGTGTCCCCTTATGTTTGTATTGCCACTAAGTTGCAGTGCGCATTCGCACACTGGATGTTGGTCGTGCATCATGAAGTATATGATAATTAGGTCACCTCGTATTCTGCGATACTGTCCGCTGATTACCCCTATCGTTTCACCCCCTGCTCCTATGATAGGTGGTGCATTACGTTGACGTATTTGGTTGCCCAAACTTGAGGCCAGTACAGCATATTAAGCTTGTGTTTCAGCTATAGATGCCTTGCTTAAATGGCCTATTCAACATGGGGGTGAATATACGCACTGAGATTAGGCCGAAAAATAGAGACGTCAATTTGTCCGTAGGCTCCTCACAACCGTTGGAAGTGTTGCTTTCCGGCGTTCGAAGCCCTCATGGAATGGCTGGAGCAATTGATGAGGAATTGTATCTTTATTGTTCCTTGTTAAACTTGAAAATACATTCGCAAAAGAATCATCGACCTTATGATGACTATGAATGCGTAATGCTTTTCTCAATACTCAAGGAATTGTGGGTTACTTGAGACAGCAATACATATGTTTTATACAAGCTTTGGAAGAGAATGCGTTTTCCGTTAGTACAGATTATAAACTCATCTGAATGATCGGTCAGAGTAGGATATCTTACGATGGATGGGATTTCATGAATCAACACTATGTAAAAGCGGATGAAAGTTTGCGTCCATAGAAAGCACACTCAATCAAATATTTCCCATTAAACAGGAATACTATTGATGTATGAAATGAGGAAATGTTACTTGATCAGAAACAAAAGTGAGAAGCTCCATCATTCGGTTGTGAACCTACTTCACTTATATATTTGAGGCCAAAGAAAGCACCGGAATAGTCCAGGTTACGGGTTTCATCAGATCGTGTGAGAGAACTTTATAATTATTATTAAGTGATTGAACTCTTTTCATTGCACAGCCCTGCAACAAGCCCGGACATCTTTCAGAAAATCCAACATCCTCTGCGCGATTATGAAATGGCTTTCAGTAAACTTGCATGCTTGTCTACCGTCAGCGCTGCGAATATGCTTGGTAGACATAATGGAGTTCCTGTATGTTACCTACGGAAATGGAAAAAAGCACTCAGATCCATGACATACGGATTTTTGCTGCATTATCTATCAGTATAATTTGATTTCGAAAATTGTACAATTGCATCAGACAGGTCAGTTTGTTCACGAAGACAGTGGCCTGCTCTTAACCATCGTAACTTCAACCAGTTGTTGGCAGATATTGATAATCATTTTACCGATGTAACTTTATACACAGATGTTCGCTGGTTGTCATTTCACGAAGTCTTAAAGAGTTTTATTTGTTGAGACGAGAAATAGTAATAATTGTTGGAGATGAATTGTCAAAACAAATAGCATAAAAGATGCACTTTGGTCCCAAGACCTGGCATTCGCTGTGTACATTACTGCTCAGTTAACTGTAAAATGCCGTGCAAAATAAACTCATCACTTAGTTGTCATGTTTCGTTACAAAACATAGCTCACCCATGTCACAGTTGTCAACAGGAGATATATTTCAATTTCCGTACTGCAAATACTTGGGCCACATTGCCAATACTAATTTTGTACTTAGCTTTGGAAATATGATTATCTCCTGTAGTCGTAATCAAAAGAATTTCAGCAAATATTTCTTGACCGATCATCTTGTGAACACCGATTGGCATTATTCTCGGCACCATCCACCTTTGATGTGCCCAAAGCAGAAGAAAGCATCCAGATGCAACTGTTGGAAACGCACTCTGATTCGACTCTCCGAGCAAATTTCCTTGAGGTTTGAGTAATTACTTTCTATTCTTACGTACCCCTGAAACGCTTAAAATGTTCAGAACTTTGCCACAATTATTACGGCAATGTTCGGTTCTATCTTTGTAGTTTCATTCATGAAAGAAACAAAGACTTGGCGAACACTGAGTACTTATCACTATTCTGTGGTTAAAGTCAGAATTTCAGACATTCTAGCCAGATATAGCAACAAATGTCCTTAATTAATGTGTCAGAGCAGGAAAAATTCATACAAATATGCATTTTGAACTGTTTTAAATTTTGTAAAATAACTGATTGCTGTTACATACATGAATATATTACTGCTAACATACTAATTTTTAGTACTTTGTTTAAATTACTTAAGTACCTTGCATTCATGGAGGTATCAGACCGCTAAACCACGTGGATGCAAATC